GAAACTGTTGCAGAGCTTTTGGTGGTATTTTGGTAAATGTGTATCAAGTCTTAAAAAGCACCAACCCTTCACCTTGGCAATTATACTTTTAGGAATTTACCACTAAACGATTAGTCAAGGATATAAACATATGTATGGATGTTTACCACAGCCCTTTTGTGCACAGAGGCAAAAATAAGACTCAAAACAAAACCACGTGGAAAGCAACATGACTGTGCAGTACCACCACAACCCTTGGCTACATGAATGGCCACACAGCGAGGTAATGTTTGATAGACAACCATTACCTTCCTAGAAAAACACTCAATGATATGAAAAGGCCCACCACACATCATAAACAGACAAACCAAAAACCAAATCCACTAGCATCGAGTTGATTATGACTTACAGTGACCTTATATAAGTTTTCTGACACTAAATCTTTATGGGAGCAGATGGCCCCATTTTTCTCCTGTGGAGACCTTGCCTTTAGCAGCCAGATGCCTAACCCATAGCACCACCAAAACAATCAAACGCACTACCATGGAGTCAGTGCCGACTCATAGCAGCCCTGTATAGGGTTTCCAAGACTGTAAAGCTTTATAGGAACAGATAGGCTTATCTTTCTCCAGCAGAGTGGTGCACTGCCAACCTTATAGTTAGCAGTCCAGTGCTTATCCTACAGTGCCACCAGCACTTCTTACAGTACTACCAGTGTACACTAAGGTATCCCAATTCTTCCAAAAATGCACATGTATATTTACAGAAAATAAAAAAGTAGAAGAATACAAATCACAATTTCAGAGTTTAAAAACAGATGCTAAGAATTCAAAGAGAAAAAACAAGATGGAGGATCAGGTGGAAGTGCAGTGAGGAGCTCCATCAGCAGCAACACAGAGAATACCGGACCAAGCAGAATCAGGGGATGGTGCCAGATCTCTGAATCACATATAAAGGAATATTTAGGAAGGTTGGAAGGCTTACAGCTAGGGGAATTTGTAGCAGAAGCAAGAAATGCATTGCTTTCTATTCCAAGATGCTCAGCTGCTCCCAGAGCTACGATCTTGGAAGAAATCGAGTCGGGGAAGGATCAGAGAAACCACGGATACCTGACAGAACCACAGAGATAAAGGTGTGGACATTCTTTTTTTTTTTTTTTTGTATTTGTTCAATGGTCTCTCACTGTCTGTGCACCTTCACTCTGGTGACTAGAGGGGGTGCCTGAGCAAGTAGACACCCCACTCCTACCCCCAGAGGGTTCTACTACGCATGGGCACAGATCTCAAAATTTAAAGTGACAGTTTCCACTTGAAACCAAATGGCAGTGCAAAGTGGCCACAGCTGGCCCTGAACTGTTTATCACTAGGAAGAAGGCCTGAACAGGGATTGTGGAGTGGAACAGGCAGACTAAAAGGAAACATAAGAAAATTAAATCCTGAGTTACATCACAATAACCAACAGTGGCATCTTGAAATTTCTCAGGAAAAGTGTAAAGGGAAGCCCATGCACTGATCACATCTACCTAGAGGCAATCAGAAAGCATAAAAAATATACACCCATCTTAAGTATTAAGGCCACATATAACTCCTAAATATGCCCTAAAAATCAGAACTAGATGACCATATCTGCATGTGTCAAGAAATGAGATAAAGTGACTGAGGCAAATGAGCTGGAAGTAGACCTAAACTCCATACTGGAAGATGGGCAGGCTTTCAAAATGCCTGAGAAGGAGTTCAGAAAAATCATTATAAAAATCTATCAAAACACTATACAATGAAGTTGAGAAAAATAAGGAATAAGTCAGGAAAGCACTACAGGAACAATCAAATAAGATAGATACAGCACTGGAAACAATTCAAAACCTACAGGAAGAGGTCAAAACGATTAATAAAAGAATATCAGAAAAGGACAATACACTGGAAGGGCAAAGGAGAAGAAGTGAAGAGATAGAAGCCAGAACTGGTGAGCTAGAAAATAAATATGTCAACATTACTAAGACAGAAAAGCAAGCACAAAAAAGGATAAAACAATCTGAGGAAGGCCCAAGATTCATGTTGGACAACATGAAGAGGAATAACTTAAGAATTATTAACATTCCTGAACAGGAAGAATCATACAAGTCCACAGAGGAGGCAGTTGAAGAGCTTCTGGAAGAAAATTTCCCTAACAACCTGAAAAGCGAAAAGATAAGCATTCAAGAAGCTCAGCGAACCCCAGGAAGGATAGACCCTAAAAGACAATCACCAAGATTGTCATGTAATAATCAACCTCTCCAAAATCAAAGATAAAGATAGGATCTTGAAAGCAGCTAGGGAAAAGAGAAGTGTAACATACAAAGGCAAGCAAATCAGATTAAGCTCGGATCTCTCAACAGAAACCATGCAGGCAAGAAGTCAATGGGGAAACATATATAAAACTCTGAAAGAAAAAAACCTGCCAACCAAGAATCCTCTAAACAGCAAAGCTGTCACTCAAATACAATGGTGTAATCAAAGCATTCCAGGATAAACAGAAGCTAAGGGATTTTGCCAAAGCCAATCCTGCTATGAAAAACATCCTAAAGGGAGTTCTGTGGATTGAGAACCAACAAGAACAGACAACAACCAGAGAAAGACGTACGTGGCAGCATCACCCTGAACTCAATCGACAAATGGAAGAGTGAAGTACAGAATAAAATTATAAGAACAGAGGATCTGGGAGGTCAGTCTATGATCAAAAACAATTACAGTATGAAAGAAGATAAACATAGAGGAACAGAGATCCAGGTGGTGAGAAGGTCAGATATATTGATTACAGGATAAAAAAAGACTATCCTAAATGGAGAGAAGAGTTAATGGAATATAAGGTAACCACAACAGTGGGGTTGGGGTGGGGTGTTTAGTTTGAGTGTTGGGAAGGGCAATACAAGAAGGGCAAGGAGGTGGAAGAAGAAGGTAGATAGGGGAACACTGAAACAGGTTTGCATAGCCTAAGTGGGACAGAGATAAACAGTGATGCATGCTCAACCTTGGAACAACAGGGCTGTGTGATACATGGATCTAGGTATAGTTTGAAGAGGGGAAAAATACTAAGATGTTTGACTGTCTTGTGAATATTGGTTTCCCTTGCCTACTATTGTAAAATAGACACTTGAGTGGGATAGAAAGGAATGTTGGGAAACAAGATTACAGAAAACTTGTAAGCCCATCTTCAGCCTATAACTGATTGGAATACCTAAAAGGGGTTCTAGAACTTGCCCAGTGAAATAGGCCTCTTGCAAAACCTTTGCAGAGTACAGTACCTTAGGTGGAATCCTAAGTCCCATCCAGAACCTTATGAGGTGGGACATTTTCACTAGCAAGGACAAGCAGACCAGCCTGGAACAACTAGAGCAACAGAAGACACATCTTCAAAGAAAGATCATCAGGAAAAACCCAAAACAAAAATGTTAGCATGACTGGCTACTACAAGAATAAGCAAGCTGTTTGCCAGGAAGCCATCAAGGCAAGCAATCAAGTCCCTTCAGAACAAATTCCTCTATAAGACTAAAACTCAAAGGGAACACATGAACAGGCATGTAAGCTTGCTGGTGACCACATTGGTCTACTGGTGAGTGGAAGAGGGGGAAAGACAGCAATGAAGAAATGGGTTGAGTTCAACCACAGTCTATTGACTCTTGTTGACCTGGAGATGAGAGAGAAGAGGAGGGGCTGGTTGGTCCAAAGTGTTATAAGACCTGGGGACACTTGATCCTATGGACAAGGACATTGCCAAGAGGGCTAGCGCTGACAGTGAAGCATCCAGCTGACATGAAATGAAGGGAAAATGCACAAGAACACCTAAACTTGCAGACAGTACCCATTTGACCTAGCCTTGATGGCTCGATAATCAAAATTTAACAAGAGGAAGATGAAAGAAAATTTTTTTATATATATAAAGGAAACAAGGGTAAATTGCTACAATTCGATGAACCTGACCTATACTCATGGAGGTAGTAACTCTAAATATCAACAGAGAGGGAAGGACTCTTCACATTAAGTATCAATGCTATCTATCCCCTCTGTACGCAGGGTAGATAGGGACAGGCAACTTAGACATTGGCTACCTAAAATGAGTGGGTGATAAAGGCACAAAGTGATGGGTTTACAAGGTTTCAAGAGGGAGTTTAGTTTAAGAGTATTGGGGGTAAGAAAGAGTCCCCACTGAATAGTTTTCACCTTGTCTAGATGGGTCTGGTAAAAAGGGATGGGTGTAAGATTCATATGATTCAATAGTGAGTAATCGTTATCATGACAAATTGCGACTGTCACAATTGTAAAGGTAGAAGTTTTGTAACAATAACAGGGGAGTAGTTAATATTACAGTCCTGAAACAAGGGAGATGAGCACAAGCAGAATGTGGGACCTTATCCAGAGAAAACAACAACGCCAAAGACGGAGGCAGAGATGGGGTCATGGAGAGGGGGAGCAGCTGAGGATTCTAGATTCATGGGAAGATATGGACTAAGAGCTGGTGGCCAGGAGGCAGACTTGTAGAATGTGCCCTTTGGAGATGTAAATTTTTATATATGCCTGAGTGTTTTTTTTTTTTTAAAGCTAAAGTTAATAGAGAGAAATACTGTTAACTGATGATGGTACATGGAGGGGATTATAATCATTGTAATGAAACAAGGTGTATGATTTGCTGAATATAAAACTGATGCTCTGTCCTGTAAACTTTCACTCAATCCACAATAAAAATCTAAAAAAAAAAAAAGATGGTAAATTACATGGGATTTTTACTTCATTCTTTATGTTCTCTGTACTGACTGACAAGCTTTATACATACACATTTTGTTCTTTTTACTTAATCCAGTTTACCAAGATTTTCAAAAATAAGTTTTTTTATTAAGTTGCTACATTATCCACAAAAGAAAAATCTTCAAAATTCACACAAGTCTTTACCTTTGAAGTAAAGGCATTGCATTTCAGTAATTACTATCTAAAATGTAAAAATTTCAGTGTAGCCTGACTTATTGAACATACATGTCAGAGATAACATACCTGAAAACAGTTACTGAATCTGAGAGGGAACCAACAGCAACATCAGGGTAGGAATTTCTGTCAAGGTCCATATTTCCAGCAATCGAATATCCAAAGTAAGGTGATTTACCCTCCAGAACCTGAAACAAACAAGGGTATCAAAATGGACAATGGGCTATCAACATGAACTTTTTATCTTTAGTTTTGGGGACTGAAGTTTAGGAGTTCATGTACAAATAAATCAGAATAATTTAATAATTAAATGATTAAAAATTAAACATATACATAAAGGATCTAGCACTTCATATATTTCATTTCAAACATGTCATATGATTTACATAGTATCTCAAAGGATACAGAGCCTATTTTTGAAGAGGCAATGTACTTACCTTAAGTCAACTAGGGCATTTCACATCAAACCTCCCAATCTGACCTCTAAAAATCTTCTTTTCCCCAGAAGTAATTTTTCATTTTTGGTGTGGGCGTTTTTCACATAATTGTCAGTCATTTGCTCTGACTCATCTCTATTTATTTTGTAACCAGAGGAAGCACATCACACTTCCACCTCTTTATATTGTCAGGGTAGAACAGTTTTTTTCCTTTGGATTATTCTGATTTCTAGATAAGAAATGTTATCCTTCAACTAAGTAGAGGTCATTTCATTTGTAATCTACTTCCAAGGTATCTTCTAGTATTATGTTAAAACATTTTTAAATTTCTACAACTGTGTATCTGTAAATAAACCATGACTGGTATAGCAATCCACTTAAATCTAAATACTCTATTAGAAGGCAAAACTCTGAGTGTCTTATTGTAGAGTTCCATGTTATTCGATTACCTGTGTAGGTTTGGTGTTGATTCCATTCGCAGACCCATGATAGATAAAAACCTTTCCCATATCATCATACGGAGCTCCAACCGCAATATCTATAGACAATATCACATTTCGACAAATATTACATCTTTAAAACACCTCAGTACAATGTTTTAAAATAAGATGGCATTAAGCACTCATTATTTTAAATGACCAAATAATTCATCTGAAAAGCATTACTATTTCACAATTATCTACCTGGGTAGCCATCTTGATTAATATCGCCAATATTTTTGACTGCAATGCCAAACATAGAATCTTTGGTTCCATTAAGACGAGTTGGCTTGACATTATTCCATCTGCCTTGCTGGTTTATGTAGACATACACTGCACCTCCAACTTCTCCACTTCTATCAAAATACTGTGGGGCTCCAATAACTATATCTTGCCACCTGAAAACATAATTAGGAGAAGAACTGTGAACTAGCAGCTAAAATACCTGTAAGTTTAGGAAGAATAGCACCAAAATAGGACACAAAGACAGACGGTAGACAGGCCCTCAAATATAGGACTTAAGGCTTATCAATTAAAAGCTAAAAAACACACACAAAAAAACCCAAAACCCAAGGAAGCCTGTTAATAAATTCCAAAGAAAAATACTGAGAACAAGAATGCAAATCTAGTTGCCTATATTAGAAGTACAGTGCAGCAGACGCCCAGGAAAGCCCCACCAACCCACCCAGACTGGCAATGATGGCCACAGGTCTATGCAATGGCATCCTACTTTCAACTAGACAGTCTGCATGCTCCAATAACCCTTGAAGAAGTCACTGAACAGAACCATGTAGGAGTCACTGTGTTGTTAAGTGTTGTTGACTTGGTACCGATTCATAGTGGTCTTGTATAGGGTTTCCAAGGAGTGGCTGGTGGATCTGAACCACCGACATTGCAGTCCAGTGCTGATCCTATAGTGCCACATCAGATCTCTATCACAATGTACAGTTAATTTCTTTTTTCAGATTTTAATCTTCATGTACCCATTAATTCCAAGGCAGGAGTAAACATGTGAACATGGAAAATGTCACTGACACCTTAGGGAGGGTAATGAAAGTGCGCTGACAACATACAAGTGACGAAGATGGGATGGGATGGTAAAAATCTAGCAGCAAAATAATTCTTTGAATCAACTAATCTGCAAAGGCGGCTATTCTCAAGATGGACAGAGTCCAGCCAAAGAAGCAATTACGTGTCATATAAAACACTCTTACCCATCTTTGTTGAGATCCACCACTGCCACGTCATAGCCAAACGAAGAGGCCAGACCTTCCCCATCAAATATATGCTCGGGCAGAAGATGTGTAGATTTCATGTCTCTTTTTAGCAAAACCACAGCTCCACTGTGATTGGCTCTTGGAGCACCAGATACAAATGTGAGCTCATCTTTGGAAACAATACCCTTCCCTGAGTCCAAAGAAAAGCCTAGAAGAACAAAATACAGCCTCTCACATCAATTCTGCATTTCAGGAGGTATCTGACATCAGTACCTCCCCATCATTATCTTTTCCTCTTGCTGCCCACCCTCCTCTCCTGGACCCTCCCACAAGACATCATATATTTACAGTATGAATGAGCTATGGAACAAAGAGATTTGACACAAGTACTAAGTTGTAGGGCTATTTTGATGCTTTCTATGGGTATTAAGACTTTAAAAGAAATGCACCCATGCTATTTAACATTTGCATAACTTGAATCATAAAACATTCAAGCGTACTAAGAATCAGTTTGAACACCATTTCTGAAACAACGGTAAAAGAAGACCAAGCTAGATATTATTGTGGGAAAGCTACATCCTACAGAGGGAATAACATTTGACTTGTACTACAACTAAGTTTGTTATAGGGTTGTGCTATATTATAACGATTAGTATTTGATTCATGCATAGCTTCTGTATTCATCTATCTCTTTGGTAATTGGGCAAGCTCAAATGCTAACATCATTAATATACCCATAGATAGCATTTCATCATTTCGAACCAACTCAGTTCCCAGACAACAAACATGCAAATGAAACTATGATTGATGATATGCAGTAAGTATTTGAGAACCGAGAATAAACAACAGAAATAACTAAGCGGTCACTGATCTCAACTGTATTTTTGGTCAGAGGGCAAAAAACCATTAATATATCTAACGATAAAGTATCAAGGTAAGATCCAGGTGACAAATACTGAAATTTGACAGAGACCAAATATAAGTGCCCATTCACATTGAGCGCTTCTTTCTCTACGAAGGTGAAGCCACTGTAGAACAGTATAAGCTCACCCTTGTCACTGGACTTTATTTATGAAAAATGCCACCACTACTGTTGCAGTTCTCAAATTGTGAAATGAGTTGAAAAGTATGATGAGCTTGCAAGTTTAGAATAGGGTGATATAATCCAATCCAGCTCTGAAACTCCGTGGTGGAAGAGCTTCAACCATGACATTACTTTTGTGTATGCATCTCTTAAAATGAAATAGAAAACAAAAAGATTTATGCTCTGTATGGATCAAACTTTTTTTTTTTTTTAATGACTATGACCAAGACAATTTATTTGTCATCTCAGAGGTCACAAACCTAGGTAGCTATTCATCATCACATCAGGGGATATACCAGGCTGCTCCCTGGGAGGCTGTGTTTTATAAACAAACTGATCAGGATCTGTGTAGGAAATGCTGGTCAAAAACAGTAGGCCTGTACACATGCATGGGACAGAAAGAGATGGAAGAAAAAAATAATTATGCTTGGTAAGACGCAGGACGGCTGCCACAGTTCTTGCCGAATGAGGACGCGCCACCATTGCAAACTGCAATCTTTGCCGGCTTCCCCTCAAGCAGATCCTTTTACCCTGAAAACCCACTGATCCTTTGAAATGACTTGATTGATTCACAGACACCATGGACGACCAAAATGCACTGGTGAGAACTTGATTCCCCTTATCCCCCAGGTATCCACTTTTGAGAAAAATACATCCTAAGAGTGGCAGGTGTGTTTCATAAAAATGTTTACCACTTTTAAATGTTCTACCAGCAACTCTGGTTATAAAATCAAATCCTTGAATATCTACCGTGAAAACCAAAGTGCTGGTTTCTTGATCAGGCCAATGAAAATGAAATACTTGTCATTCTAAATAGTCTCTAAATAATGTATTTCTAGAGAGAGAGGCTGTCAGTTAAAATATATTCAAATATTGCTGTGTCAATAATATGGACCTTTAAAAGAATTTTATCTTGAAAATTTGTGTTTCATAATTTAACATTTATGTAAGTCACTAACAACCCATTTACAAACCCAGCTGCTTCCCTTCCTGCTCCTGCCCATTTGCCTGAGTATTTCTTTCCTTGGCTGGAAGAGCATTAATTGTGTGACCTTGGACTAGGAAATTAATCCAAACTGCAGTTTTTCTCATCAGCAAAAGAAGGACAATGAGAACTATTATATTGTTGATTAAATGACATCAGATATGAAAGACACTGACTTGTAGCACCGAACTATTGTTGTTAAGTGCTACCGAGTTGGTTCTGACGCACAGCGACCTCTGTATAGGTTATCCAAAGAGCAGCTGGTGAATTTGAACTGCTGACCCTGTGGTTCAAACTGACCTTGTAGTCTAGTGCTTTATCCCACAGAGCCACAGTGCTTAATAATTAAGTATAATTTTTCTCTTTCCTCTTCTGTATCGTTATGCAACTGCTAATGTGTGCTGTTGGGTCGTTCCACTCACGGTGACCCCAGTATAGGGTTTTTGAGGTTGTAAATCATTATTGGCACAGAAAGTTTCAACTTTCTCCCAAGAAGCCACTAATGGATTCGAACTGCTGACCTTCCAGTTAGCAGCCCAATACATAACCCACTACACCAAGGCTTCGTCTATCTTTTTATACTAAATTTTAGTTTTAGGGGTAAGAGAGGATTCTCTACAAATGTTTTTAAATAACAGTATAGTTCATACCAACTTTAACAATTAGAACCATTTTTTCCAGAGCATATTTACTAAGACATTGTTTGGAATCACTGATATCTATACTATACCCAGTGTTTCAGCTTTCGAGTCCCAGTAATATCTCTAAGCATACTTTTCTCTTCGTGATTTTTTTTAAAAAAATAGGTTACTATTTAGGGTTAGGAGTTTTTTTAGTTTTTTTTTTTCCCCCAAGAAATGCACAATAATTATTCTTTATGTCAACTCATACCAAGAATTAAAGCTTTTAAAAGCCTTTTTGTAATTATCATAATGCACATGAATAATTTAGGACACCCATTAGTCACGCAAGCAAGCCTTAAGAGTTAAGGAATTGGCACTTAAACACAGTTTGAGTGTCCTCAGAGCCGCTTCAGCCCTTCTGCTCAGCCTCAGCCAGAGAGCCCCCGTGCCACCTACCAGGGGCTCTGTGACATGGGGGCCCCAATCTGGAAGTGGGGCCAGCCTTTGGAGACCAGCAATCACCAAGCAAAGACCCAGAGGGCTTGAACCACCACTAAGATTACGTTCTGAACATGGTCTTCAAAGACTGTGTAGGAGGTGGCGCTGACTACAATGGAGATGCCCACACTCTAGCACAGCCGCATACATGGCCAGTGTTAGGTCATCAGCTCCGAAGACGGGCTTCCAAGCAGTAGGGTGGACCATCTTAGGAGCTACTTAAGTTTCTGCCCACCTTGCGGGAACACCAGGTCAGCAGGGAAAGGCTCCAAATCCCAGTCAGGTCCCTCGGGATCCCCAAGGTTTAAGTCAAACTCTTGTGAACACGGCCTGGCATGTCCTCAGCGTGAGCAGCCCATGCCGTGCAACACTGGGGAGTGGGTGTCACACGGCAGCGTCCACAGGCAGAGGTGGCCAGGCCAGCTCTGCACATGCCTACCTAAATAACTGTTAGCAGGAACAGGAACTAGACCTTCGTCATGGTTAGTCTCTCCACCAACTTCATAAGGCCCATCTTCAAAGATGTTCATGTCAAAAAAAGTATTATTCTTTTGCTCTACACGAACAATCCCTAAAGGAGTGAAATGGTAAAAACAACAACGAAAAAAAAACCATGAAGATGAAGCAAACTAAAATAAATGGTTTCTAATATACAATCCCCATGCTATCACTGAGCACAGGGAGGAAAGTGTGAAGGAGAAAAACAGAAGAGGTGACTTTGAAGGTCGCTAAAATTAAAATGTCAATGTAAACTTTTCTACATCAAAAAAATATGTTGTAGTTAAAAACAACAACAAAAACCCCATGTTTTCATGAACCATCTCTACTATACAATGAAAGAAATTAGATGGAAAATGGAATGCTTGTTTAGTTAACAAAATCTACAAGACCAATTTTTAAAAATTGACATGAACTTAACACATATGTTTAACATTCTCTGCAGTCCAAAATCAATTTAGTTTCTTTGTCATAGTGTAAAAGTGAAATTAACATTTAGATCATTTCTTTAAGTCACTGGAACCAAGATGTGATCTTTTCAAAAGGCTCAGTTAAAGAAAAGTATCTAATCGGAACTGACTCACTTAACAGTAACTTGCGACAGCCCTTAACAACAACAAAATCATAAAGGAAGTCCAAATTACAATACAATTTTTTAAAATGGCACTCTTTATTGTGAGGATTTATGAAAGCAGTTAAGACATAGTGCCCGTAAATTGAAGCATACACAGTTGTTGGATATTTTGGTTTACGATATATGACATCTATTCTTGTTAAGTAACTTCTAAATTTAACATGTTATTTCAACTAGGTCAGAATCACCTGACACATAAGTTTCTGTTGGAGCAGAAAGTAAAAGGACATTTACTCTCACAGGTACTATCTATAGCTGACATAGCAGAGGGAGGTTTGCCCTAGAATCATTCTAACAGAAATTAAAGATTGAAAAGGGAAATTTTTCTAAGTTTTCCTCACTAGTGAAAATGTTAACACATATAGTTTACTTTAGTAAATATCTCAAAAAAGATCTTATATCCAAATCAGATATATTTCTCCTCATCATGTGTGCTGTGGCGTTGGCTTTGAATCAGCGATCCTGAACAGTTTGTGAAAGCAGTTGTTGGGCTTGAACTGCAGACCTTGTGGTTACCAGTTGAATGCTTATCATATGTTGTTGTTGTTGTTAACTGCCATTGAGTCGTTCCGATTCATAATGACCCCATGTACAAGAGACCGAAACACTGCCTGGTCCTGCGCCATCCTCACAATTGCAGCTACGCTGGAGCCCCGCCATAGCTGCCAGTGTGCTGGAAAATGCAGCCATAATGATATAGTGGTTTTCTGTACTTGCCAGATTTCTTTAGAAGTTAAACTTTTAAGTTAAAGTTTAATAGGAACTGACAAGATTCATTCAGTCAAAAAAGTGGACCATTTCTTCCCTACTACCTAGAGTTTCCTTTTACCCATACTAATGAAACAATACTAATAAGTAATTTTTCCTCAAGCTGTCTGAAATTATTCTCTCAAAAGTACCTAATCTATCTGGCATCAGTATTAACAAAGCATAGCGTTCTGGACAGCCTTTTTTGTACACCAAACATAAAAAGCAAACACATTAATATTTAGTAGATTCAGACTCAGCAATTCGACAGGAGAGGGCACAAGTGCCCCATGGAATTTCCCAGGCTGTCATCTTTATGGAAACTGACTACCACAAGTGCTTCACAGCTGAGCGTTTTAACTACCACATCACCAGGGCTCCTTCATTTGTACACACACAACTCAATTCTTCACAGTGTTCAAAAAAACTAACTTAAAACTAAAATCTACGACTTTAGAAAACAGGCAAATAAAAAACAGCAAAAATGATTTGTGTTATTACACTTCTACAGGGAAAAGTTAACTATACTTAAATCAACGAAAACTGCGTGTGTGTGTGTGTGTGTGTGTAACCCCAAAACCTTTCAACACTAAAAGAAACACACATTTTCATGAATATTTCCTTTTAAAAATTATGATTTAGAGAAGACAATTTACTCTACCCCACTTCATAACAAACAAATGCATTATGACACATTTTGTTTTTTAACTTAAAATGTACTAAACCATGATACATTTTATATGCATTATATAAGCATTCTAATATCTACTTCTGTAAATAAAAAATGGCATACCTTTCCAGTTGTAAGTACCCGGGGCTCCAAACACAATGTAATGGAAGTCTTTAGTAAAAGTAGCTGCTACACCTTGCTGACAAGAACCAAATTTTTCATGACCTCGCAAACGACCATCACAAAAACTCCAATCTCCTCCATCCATATCATCTTCAATTCTGAGATTCTGACTCAAGACGTAACACCTCCCAAAGATGTCTCGGGATTCCTGCTTTGTATTAACATGTTGCCTTTTTTCATAGCGGTGAGCACAGGTCTGCAAACACATGAAATAAAGTAGCCCTCTGTGTCTATAAACCTTGTCATTGAAGATTACAATTAATAACATTGAAAATACTGAAGAGGTTAATACTAAAACAGTAACAAAAACCCAGTCGCCACCAAGTCCATTCCAACTCATGGTAATTCCACATGGATCCGAGTAAAACTGTGCTCTGCAGACTTTTCAATGGAAGCAGATAACCAGGTCTTTTGTCTGATGTGCCTCTGGTGAACCCAAACCTCCAACTTTGTGGTGAGCAGTCAAGCGTGTTAACTATATGCAGTAACCAGGGGCTCCAAAGATACATGTGTCCACATTTTTAGAATTGGGACCAAAATTAAGAACTCTGTTCCAAAGTGCCCTTGAGGAGACAGTAGCATCTAGAAACTTGAGGACTTCTGTCTTATTTTCATCCATAGCATCATTGTAATCCAAATATTAAATGCCAATCTATAATCCATAGGTAATTTATTTATAACTTTACTTGGCACATGAACAAAGGGAAGCACCTTATTTCATTTTTATTGGCTTTTAATGACTACATAAACTTTCATATCAACATGCTTGACAAAAAGAGCAATTATGTCTAGAGGAGAGAAGTTACAGACCTATTTTCATAGTGATTAGGCAAACATCTAAAACAAAGACATTTTCCTTTTACCCACAATATCTCCTTGTAATCAGTCCTAACTGACATTCTAAACTCAGAAATCATGTCCCTAAAATTATTTCTTTTGAAACACAGAATTAAAAAGGTGTAGTAATCTTTACAGTTTTGTGTTTTTGTTTTTTTAACTCAGATACTCATGGTTACCCCTCATATAACACAGGCTGAAAATATTTCACAATATCCAAGTAATTTCCCAATGTCTTCCTTAAGCATTAAAATTCAGTGTTCAGTAAAAAACATCCATTTCTCTCAAAATTCTAAATAGAATGATTAGAATCACCAGGCCATCTATAAGACCTATCAGTAAACTCTCTCTCTTCTTCACTACCTATCGAAGAAGCTCAAAATAAATGACAAAAGATTTGAAAATTTCTGAAGTTACTTTCTGTAATAATTCCCATATTTTAAAAAATTGATTATACATAGTTCCTACAGCAGAAACCATGCCTATTTTGTTGAATTTTTAAGACCATCTAGAGTTCCAGGATGGATTTTCAACAGAGATTTATGAATAAGTTTTTTCATATGAAAGTGCTGAAGAAAAGAAGATGGTATGCCTGTTTCAAAACACACCAAGAATCACAGGAAAAAATAATTATTCCATTTCTTCCTGATATGAATTCCTGCCTTGAAGCAATCAGTTTGGTAGAACTCAAAAAACTGCACGTGGACAGGAGTTCCACTCTGTTTGCTGCACTAAGTCTGGTGATACTGGCTCATGATGGGCATTCAAATGCTTGTAAAATGAATGCATTTCTTACACTTACCACAACTTTGCCCCCTGGGCCCTGGCTTTGGACTGTGACACCCATCCACTGGTCTTCCTTGCTTTCTGAGGAAGGGTCAGCTGCGGAAAAACAGCACAGGTTACACACACAGTTAACACATTAAGGTGGCTGGAAGTGACTTGTGTACCAACAAATCACAAAAATACAAGAAACCAAGTCTAAACTGCCTTAACTCCAAGCCTAACCACTTGGTAAATGCAATGACTCAATCTCAAGAAAATACGTAACTGGTTAGAATTCTTTGCATAAAACACATAACTTCTGCATGGTAGCTTATCTTGTCCTAAATGCTGCTGCACCTTTTCTGACAGAAGAGTCCTAAGTACAAAAAGGTATTTGAAAATTGTGAGACTAAGGGTTAGCCCTGCAATATATGTCCTTAAAACAATAATGCAAGATTCAGTTTAAAAAAATCCAATTACAGTAAAATCTGAAAAAGCTAGACAGGGGGAAACCTGTCAAAAGGAAAATTCAAATATTTTCCATTAAAATAAGCCACAGAAAAGTGGTAAGACTGTATGTACCCTGTTTAAGGCTGAAAACTCACAAAACCCAGAAAAACAAAACAGACCATCAAGTTCCACCTCTCACAGGTTTCACTGTGTAATCCAAACTAACAGAATATAGGGGCCTCTCTAAATACTGGCAAATGTATTATATAAAAGCACACACTTTTCTTTTCCATACTTGAGATGGGAAGGGAAGGTCTCAGATTCATTTTAGGTCTCCTAGTTGTCAAGTCATACCATTATCAGTGACAAAAGACAAAGCCACATATTTATTTTTAGTCAAACTAACAAATGAGAAGCCACAAATATCACTATGTGCTCATTTTTTGTTAAACCCCTATATCGCCCATAATCAGCATTCAAATTTCTTCTTTAAAAAAAGCAAGGCATATTTGCTTTCTACAGTGAGAAGCAGGGCAAAATCTTCAATCTTAAAACATTACAAACAATATAAGAACTAAACAACCTGAAGTAATCCAGAAGGAAAATAAAAATATATATATATCAGAATGTTTATATCAAGCTATGAAGATTATCAATAGGGCTTTTGTTGTTTTTCTTTAGAGGTCCACATACTTTATAAGTTTCCTATAATTAACATGTATTACTTTCTCACTGGAGAAACAAAACAAAAATAAACAAATGTTATTTTTAAAAGCTTTCAGCAAGAGAACTTAAGCATGAATCTGCAAACTGACTTAGGCCCAGCAAGTCAAAATTTGGCTTGGATACTCATCATGCTGCCAAATCTACAAGAAACTGAGTAATCTAGATGTTAATGGGATGGCATCTTCCAGCCACCCAGAGTTCTTACTAGGCAAGTTTCTACTGTGGCAACAGAGCAAACTGTATCTGTATTGACTAGTTCTCACTTTACAGAAACCTGGCATCTGAACAATCTTTCTCCCAAATGAGAATTTTTGTTTGCTGAGTGCATTCAACATTCTTCAGTGCTATGAATTCCATCCTGTAGGATCTCAGTATATCACTAGATGGCAACATCAATACACTGTATTATTTTAGAAATGAGGATTAGGAGAAACAGCAATGCATCCCAGTATGATTAACATAGTCAGTGTTTACGGGCAAACTAAAAAGCAAACAACAAGATACAGACCCTGCTGCCGTTGAATCGATTCCAGCTCATGGGGACCCTGCAGTATAGAGTAGAACTGCCCCCATCAAGGTTCCAAGGCTGCAATCCTACATCGTTCTCTGGTAGGGTAGCTGATGACTTCAAACAGCTGACCTTTCTGTTAGCAGCTGAGCACTTAACTACTGTACCAGCAGAGCTCCTTTCAGGGCAAAAGCTAGTAGACTATAGCCAGTCAATTAAAAGAGGTCTTCAGAAATAAATGCTTGAACCCTCTTTTCCTTCACATGGAAAGGGCAAGTGGGGTAGTGGCGAGCTGACTAGAGGAACAGTGAGGCAAGAAAAACCCACCATCGTTATCAAATTCAATCCGTGTGCATGGTCCCCGGGAAGTGATATCGCAGCTGTACAAGCCCCCTGTCCGGTTGGCCCTCTGCAGCGGAAGAGCTTTGGCCTGAGGGGCCCCCACTAGCAACCTGTTAACAAAACAGAGAAAACTTAGAGATGTGAGTTTAATTAAAACTTAAAAGGTTAGTCAAAATTGTTGTTTGCCAAACCCACTTGCCATCGAATTGATTCTGATTCATAGCAACTCCTATAGGACACAGTAGAGCTGCTCCTTAGGTTTCTAAGATGGAAAATCTTTATAGGAATAAGCAGTCTAATGCTTCAGCAGCTGAACATAGAGGAGAGCAGAGTTGTAGTTCATGACTGAGTCATCCAACACACACAAATACAACGATAGAAGTTAGGCAAAAAAGGAAAGGGTATTTAAATAAAGCAAAAATATGTTTGTCTGTCCTATCAATTTTCATTTTTCTGGGTAAGAGTCTGGTGTTTAAAAGATACGTAGACCATGACGCTTAAAACAAAAGCCAAGCCAGTTTCCATGGAGCTGATTTTGGCTCACAGCATCTCCATGCATGTCAGAGCATACCTGTGGCTCCATAGAGTTTCCATGGCTGTGATCTTTTGGAAGTAAATTGTCAGGCCTTTCTTCCAAGGTGTTTTCTGTGGATTCACACCATCAACCTTTTTGGTTACTAGCTGAATGGTTAACGTTTGTACCACCCAAGGAATCCTTAACCTAAACCAAGTATACCATATAGAACTCAGCTGACAAAAACTGAAGGGGGTAAAAAAATGGCCATGCTTAACTTATTAATTGGTAATATCTCAATTCCTAAGGTATTTTTAAGAGCTGTTGGTGTAAGTGCTGTCCAGTCGGTTCCAACTCATAGTGACCCTCTCTATACAGTTTCCAAGAACGGCTGGTGAGTTTGAACCCTTGACCTTGTGGTCCAGTGCTTTATCCCACAGTACCACACCATGGTAGTTTTGCCTATATCCTTGGTTTCCTGAGATTTAGAACCCAGCCTGTACCTATCATATAAAAGAACTGATTTCTTTTGTGTCCCTGGTCTCTTTCCAATTCTTATTTCTCAGTATTCTTGTCATCTTTGACTAGCTTCTTATCCAAGGAGTCTCTCAAAAAGGATTTGGGGGCTCAAAGATTTTTGCAGTGCTACGCATACTCTGCGTAGTGGTTATGAATCGGGCTGTGAACCTTAAGGTCAGCAGTTCGAAACTACCAGCAGCTCCGCGGGAGAAAGATGACTCTTTCTGCTCCTGTAAAGATTTACAGCCTCGGAAACCCTGTATAAGGTCACTATGAGTCGGAACCAACTCCACGGCACACAACAACAACACGCATACTCTAGGCAGTGTAATACTTCTCCATCTCTCCAATTCCAGTGTTCCTGTCATCCCTGTAAGTTGCTGTATTCTGTTAAGTTGATTCTGTCTCAAGGAGACCCTAGAGAACAGAGAACTGCCTTGTAGGATTTTCTAGGCTATAATGTTTATGGGAGAAAATCACCAGGTCTTTTCTCCCCTGGAGCAGTTGGTGGGTTCAAACTACCAACCTTGTGGATAGCAGCTGAGTACTTTAACCACTGGACCACCAGGACTCTTTTCTCCTGTAAGAGGAGCCCCTAAACCAATACACTATCCTTGAAGTCTCATTATTTGACAGCCAGAGAGGGATCTTAAGCGATCCATTTCCTTTTTCCAGGGCTCCTTTTGCCAGCACTCTTTACTCACCATGATCTTTATAATCCTTGGGGTCCGGCTGACTAATGAACAACGGAAAGGAAACAAAGGGAAAGAACACACACATGATCTGACAGAGAGAAACAAAGAGTTTAAGGGGAAACCACACAGAGCTGGGGGGAAAAGGGTGGGGGGACACAAACCTGAAAACAACAAGCAACTCTCTAAGCAGAAAAACTAGCTACTCCTGGCCTTCAAGACAGTCACGAATCTCAGATACAAAAGCAAATCAATGCAAACCAAACAGTCCCCAAAGCTCTGTCCCTGCAGGGATTCCCAATAAAGGATTGAATGCTTTTTCTTTAAAAAGCCCATACAATGCAGCTAGTGCAGCTGGAGGAAATGGACTTGGAGAGCAGGGCATGGAGCGTCAGACTCTGCCCAGGCAGACACAAGCAGGGTGACCTGGGGGACGGATCCCCCTAGTCCCATCCCCACGTCCCAGCACCATCCCTCCTCCCAACCCAGAATCAGACTTCACAAGAAGGATCAAATAAGCGCACACCCAGGTACAGGGCTGTGTCCTCAGTGCCCGGCTCCTATTGACATAAGGCAGAGGTAAGGACAGAGGTCCACCTCATGCCTGCTCCAGTTAATGCCATTCCTAATCTAGAAGTTCCAACGTGCACCCTGCTGGCCAACTGGCCTACACTGCTTGGTGCATGAATTCATTTTCTCAGCAGGTGGGGAACAGAACCATTCTGGGCACTGGGAGGGATAAACAAAATGCCAGGCCAGATGCACAGGATCCAGGGCTTTAGCACCGGACAGCAGCTGAGCGAGACAGAGACAGAAGCCTTCACGGGGACTATGGCTCTAAGTCACGGAAAATCCACAGCTAGTAGGCAGCCAGGACCCACTTTCACTCCCTCATGCTACTTTCTGGACTCCTGGTGTGGAGCTGTAGGATAAGCCCAGGGCTACTAAAGGCAAGGTTGTCAGTTTAAACCTTAAAGTGTTCCTCTGACACACTCTATGGGGTCAACTACGAGTCATACCGACTCGATAACACTTAACAGCAACAAAGCTACTTTCCAGTCAACAGAACTCAGAATTTTAAGGAGTCTGAAGTTACCGGGTGGCACAAATGGTGACTATGTTTGTTGGCTAATCAAAAGGTTGGAGGGTGGAGTTCACTCAGAAGGAAGGCCTGGTGATCCATTTCTGAAACATCAGCCATTCAAAAACCCTACAAAGCACAGTTCTACTCGGACACACATGGGGCCGTCATGAGTCAGAATCACCTTAGCAGGCAAGACAAACAGGAATGAACCAAGAGGAGCTCGGGCTGCTGGCAGACTGTATTCAGCAGGCTGAATCCACAAAGGCTGAGGCAAGGCAGAGTCAAAGCAATATTGCAGTTGGGTGGGTGAAGGTTGGGGAAGAGATTGCCTATAATCCCAAAGGACGGCTATGTAGAACAGCCCAGGAGCCCTAAAATTACCAAGTTTCTTTAACCACTTCCTCTCCTCACCACACCCAAAAGGCCCAGGAGCTAAGGCAGGTTATTTCTTTGCTGCCCCTCATTCACTCAATAATTATCAAGAGTCTCCTGAGATGATGGAGGAATTATCCTATCCCTGAAACTCCAGGGCAATCAGATGCATGAACAGCTTACTAAAGCACAGGGAAAGAGCCCGGATGGTACAATGGGTAAGTACTTGGTTGCTAACCGAAAGCAAACCTACTAGCCACTGCGGGAGAAAAGGACCTGGGGATCTGCTTCTGCCAAGAATAAAGTCGAGAAAACCTTATGGGGCCATTGTATCCTGTCACATGGCACTGCTACGAGTCAAAATTGTCTTGACAGCACCCAACAACAAACTATAGGGAGAAGAAGGCAATGAGTGGAAGGGACAGAGTACTGTGTGGATGTCCAGAGGAAGGCGCCAAAACCGGGCTGGGAGGAAGTGCTTTATGAAGACACAGCCGAGCAGGAGTTAGCCAGGTGAATCAGAGAGAATGGAAGTGAGGAGTCAAAGATTAACAGTACAGGGCTGGGGGGCTGTAGGGGGCTGGGGGAAGCTTCAGTGGTCTGGCCTGCGGAGCTCTGCATTCATGGGACGAAGGGTCAAACCAGGACACAAGCTGCCCTTCTTGGAAAGACTACCCCCAATGGAGCCCCATGCTTCCGCCAACTATTGTGCCAGGCAGGGGGCGGGTGCTTCTGGGTTTCCTATTGTTTAAGAAGCTGTGCAGCTCTGTTCCACTAACACACACGGGCCCACTTCCTCCAGCCCTTTCTCCTAACTGCAGCTTAGGTGCTCCGTGGACGTGAGGCAGATTGTCTCCCTCTTTAGTACTTCATCTTTCCACTTGCTCCCTTACCACTCTGGCTACCAGCAAGATTTGAACCCGAGTTTGACAGAGTAGGCGTGTAACTTGAGTTGGCTGGCTGATGATAGAAATAAACAAAATTTCACAGATGCTTAAAATGCCAACGCTTTATAGAATTTTTTTTTTTTTTTTTTTTATGGGACTACTGCGGATTAAATCAGACTACACGGAAGGAAGAAACAGCATCCAGTTTGGGGGTGAGGGGAGAAAAACACATTTTAAACACATTTTGGCGGGGAAGAACACAAGTTTTGGGGGGGAAATTACAAATTTTAAAGAAAGTCTGCAAGTCAGTCACACTCCTGGTTCACAGATTGAAGCCCTCCCACAAAAGAAGAGAAATGTATTTAAGGGAATAATTGTTGTTATTAAGTGTTATCAAGTTGGTTCTAACCGTAGCAACCCGGTTATAAGGTTTCTGAGGAGTGGCTGCTGAGTTTGAACCACCTATGTTGTGGTTCAGGAGCTCTGGTAGCGTTGTTGTTGTTGTTGTTACAAATTGGGCTGTGAACCGCACAGTCAGCAGTTTGAAACTACCAGCTGTTCTGTGGGAGAAAGATGAGGCTTTCTGCTCCTGTAAAGATTTACAGCTTCGGAAACCCTGTACAGGGTCGCTATGACTCCACGGCACACAGCTACCATGTTGTGGTTCAAGCTGAGCTGACCTTGCGGTCCAGTGCTTACTGTACAATGCCACACCAGGACTACAATATTAGCTGTCAAAGTGTCTCCCTGAGGGCTGTGCCAACACCCATCCTTCTTCTCTAGACACCTGGACATGTGCCCAGCGAGTCTCCACCTCCCATGTGACCCACCTGGGGATAGAGGCAGCACGGCTCCAGGCTCTGGGATGACCAGAGCAGACACTGAACAACAGAGCGGGCCCATGCTCTGACTATACCCTGTGTCGTGGGACCACGCTTTCAGGAAGACCATGGTGGGGGTTCAAACAGAGGTAAACGGTAGAACCGGAGTCATGAGGTGAAGAAGGATCTTGCTGAGAGACTGTGGTAACGACAAGTGGACT